TTCTGTTCCCCACTCTGGTGAATTCTCTCACCCTCCCGTGCTTCTAACTGTACCCAGTGCTTGTATAAATAAATAAATAAACCAAGTTCGAAATACCCTAATCTTCAACCCACTTTGAGCTGGGTGCCAGTCAGCTAGGGTTGAGATAATGAAGAACCACATAGGATGGAGGCAGGATGGGGCAGTGGAAAAAACGACCCTGACAACAGAGGGCACTACAGGCAGTCTCCTGATGTCCACTCAAAAGGCTGCATCACCGCCTTTTCATTTCGGTAACTTAACAAGCTCTCACTCTATCCCAAAGAGGGATCTAAGTACTTGTATTCATCAGGACGAGGTGGTAACAAACCCAAATCACCAGCAGGTGATTTCTTGCTCTTCCTACGTCCCATTGCTGGATCTCATCTCAACTCACTCCCAGGCGCCAGGTAACAGAACAGTTAATCCCTGGTGCCGTGCCCATCTCCTAACACCATTGTGGGGAGAGGCACCGGAGGTCTCACACAGCCACTAAAGTCAGGCACACCAACCACTTCTGCCGTCAGCTCAGTCACTGGCCAGAACTAGTCACGTGGAAAGTACATGTGACAGGCAGGGGGCGAACCCGAATATTTTGCAGGCTAATTACCACTCTAGCACTTTTCAAGCATTATATTTAATCTTCACAACCACCACAGGGAGTATTGCTATTGTTCCTACAGAAAAATGATGGACTCAAGCAGAGAAATGAGGCAACTGGCCCAAGATAACACAGCTAATGAAGTCAGCATTTCATTTCAAAATCCCTTCTTTTAACCATATTTTTTATTGACTCCTCTGGCTCTCTCCTATGTGGTCTTCAGCACTTGCGTACCCATTAGATGACTTAAAAGATAAAAAAAGGGGACCTGGGTACCAGAAGAGTGACCTTGAATTGAGTGCTGCCCACATCCCAGTCTACTCTGTATACTACCGAGACTCATTTTGGGGTCCATGGGATTCTGTGGACTCAACACTGTAGCAAAGGCACTGCGTAGAAATCCACTTTTAAGTGTGCTCTCCCACCACAAGGAGGGTGAGAGTAAGGCTCAAACTCTCAACACCCACTTTGATAGCTAGATGCTGGGGGTTCCCACTGGGGAGAGCTGTCTCAAGAGACTAACAAGGGCACAGACTGGTTTGTGGACACTTGCACCCCACTGCCTGGAGCTAAAACACTAGTTACACTGAACACAAGAATGCACACCACCACACAGCAGGGCCAGGAAACTGGCAGGATGCGGTTTTGCCACTTTGTAATAGCATCATGAACAACTTCATAATTCTGTGCTTTCTTTACCTGAAAGCTGGTGCCAGTAGTAGGGATGATGTAAAATTTAAGGTTATAGAATTTAAGATTATATGAAATGTGTCACTTTTAGCTCCATTTCTGCTCTATAGCAAACATCTAGGAGTTATTAGGCTCCTTTTGTGGGAAGATCTGTGATGAAATGACATAAAGGGGCTCTCTTCAGAACTCTGGGAGAGGAGGCACTCCAGGAGGGGTGAGCTCTGAGAACAGGCTCAGAGGGAAGGCATATTTGGGGTCGATATGATGGCTTTATTTAGTCATATATGGGGTCTCTCTGAGCTTGCTTTCTTGGAGGTCAGGAACAGAAAGCAATTCCTAGGAAGGGGTGAGGCAAGTCACCTCCCAATGCTCACCTATCCAGGAAAGATGAATCTGGGATGCCCAGAGAACCAAGTGCTCTCCACAGATTTCTGGACTCACTGCTCCTTTGTGCCCAATTGTGTGCCTGTCCAGCGCTTAAATTTAAATAATTTTTAAATCTCTTTCCCGCAACAATTTAGATAAATTTCCTGTTATTTTCATTACAAGGAAATCAAGGCTATAAGCAGAAAAGCAGACCTTAATTCTGGTCTGTTCAGCCTCAAAGACCCATGTCCTTACCTCATGGCCTTCCGAACACAAGGCCCACCCTTAACACAGCTCTTAACTCTTTCTTCTAACACCCCACTGGGGCTATTCATTACTTGCCAAATCTCCAGGGCCAGTCTCAGGCGTCCTCACAGTAGCCCAGCCTTCAAAAGTCCTAAGTTACTGAGTGCCGCTCATGCTCCAGAACCTGGACTGTTTGCTATGTGCTCATTTAGAAAATGTGAAGCAGGTTCTCCCATGTTGACAGAACAGGGATGCTCACAGGAAGACCACCATACGTCAGGGCACTGACGAGTGCTTCCTGAGATCTGCTCCACCCACCAGGAAGTGGCCCTGTAAGCTAGTTATTAAAATAATCAGAAAAGGAAACAGTGGGGGGGAAAAAAAAATCAAACTTATGCAACATAAAATTGGTCTTAGCACCTACAATCCTACTGTCATCAGGCCAACTCAGCAGCTGCTGCCCTGTCTTACAAGGCTGAGTTTAAATGTTCTTCACCCCACTCTGCAGGAGCAAACACTAGGCTAGGTGCAGGACATCCAGGCTTTCCCAAACCTCGTTTCTCTTTGGCCAGACACACAAGACCTCCTAGAAAACAAGGGTCTAACCTGTGTTGTTCAATGTGCACCACCAGCCACTGGTTCTAAGATTCACTTTAACTATAAATGTAAAATATGACTTCAGACTTACTAAAAAGCAAAATCCTATGCATGTTTCTTCTTACATGTTGAAAATACAACATTTTAAAGTTATTAAATCCCAACTGTCTTAATGTGGCTACCAGATAGTTGGACTAAGTGGCTCTTGTTACATTATCTCTCAGGCGGAGTGGGGCCCAGGTCTTCCCCAGGAGCCACCCTGCCTTCTTTGGAGGATGAGCCCTTCATTAGCATCTCTTAGGTGAGGTGCACAACAAATTAACTCTCTCCAGTTTTGGCAATGTACTTGTGACTATTTCACATACAACTTTTAAAAAGAGGCTTCTTTTAAAAAATGACATTTCTACACATACATTGCTAAAACACCACCTAAGTTTACTTAGAGGAGCGTCTGGGAGAGCTGTGGGCTGTCTGCTTCCATGACATTAACTGCAGGGTAGTTACAGGGCACTTTGCGTACTGTCACACGAACAACAGGGAAGGCACCAGCCCCCTCCCAGGTTTAATATAAAACTCCAGAAGAGGGCAGCTTCACCACCTGGACCCCAACCCAGAATCCATCAAGGACCAGACACACTTTGCTGGTGAGCCAAGCAGGTGATGGTGTGTTAGCAGACATTCTTGTTCACTTCAGGAAAAAAACAGCATTCATCAAATTAACACCAAGGTTGTGGACTGACACAGACGCTCTTGCTACTCTGCTGTAAAGTTCAAAACGACCAAGTGAAGCACCAGAGTCCATTGAGGCATTTTATTTCCACATATGTTTTACACCCCTAGAAAAAGAATCCCAGGATTTTCCCTCCTGTGTGTTTTCGTCTTGCTTCTTCATGGTCCATGATGCCAGCTGAGGTTGTCAGTACAATGAAACTATGGAAAGTTAAAAAAAAAAATGCTGGTGAGTTTTTCCTAATAGTTCAACACAGAGCTGTTTCCTGGTACAGAAAAACAACACTAATTGTGTTTAAGATGCCTTCCCGTAAAGAACAGAGGTTTTTGCTGCCCAACAGGCTGGCAGTGCACAGGCATGACTCCTGAACCAAGAAACCAAAATACAGAGCCCTCGGTCACACACACTCAGTACAGCCCTACATGGGTTCCTATGAGCTGGCCACTAGCTGGCCACGCACAGGCAACTGTGACCTATTTGCTATCTGCAAATTGCAGCAGAGCATTCCATGACTACCTATGGCGAATAGCCTGTATCACGAGCAGGTCTGGGAACACCTAGGCCGCCACTGACCTGATCTGATTACATGACTATCCCCATGGTGGTCTCGGAATAACTCTGCCTGTGACATCAGCATATACTTTGCTGACGCAAATGTTTCTTGAAGTATGGTGACAATGTCCCGTTCTCTGTCCCTTATAAGCCTTCGGCCCCTTACCCCCCAGACCTTAATCCTCATATCATTGTCACATGATCAGCTCCTACTGGTCTGTATGCTACTCCTACTCCCAGATCCCCCCACAAAGCAGCAACAAAGTTCCTGTCACAAGAGCCATATCCTTTGGTAACACTGAGAAACAATGCTACCAATCTTAACTGAAAACAAAGACTGGGAACTCCTTTAACTTCAAAATGTAACCTCCTGCTTCCAGGTAAGGAGGCATGAGTTTGGTGTAAAGTATCAATATAAACATGACTGAATTGTTATTGCCACTAACTTTATGACCAACTGCACACTTCTAGACAGTCATTGGGACAATGGGAGAGCCACCAGGCCTATGTACCCCAGGGGTTACTGTGAGGATGATGGTACAACAAATAAGGCCAATGTCAACTGTGAGGTATTCAAGTCAGTATGGTTAATTACTTCAAAAATCACTCCACAACACTACACTTGAAACACAGTAACCACCAAGTTGTACTAACTCAACCACATCAAACACTTGACTTAGGTCATAAGTTCTTAACCAGAAACAGATACACTATGTCAGAACCTAAAGTGCTTTACCAAGATTAAACCAGATAAAGTACACCTTCTAAGACAAAAGGATTTCCATAGATGAAGAAATCACAGCCTATGTCTTGCCCAGGTCCTCAGAGGCTTAAGTTAGGAACACAAATATTTGTCACTCTCTTACAAAGGACAAAGCTCTGAGTCTTCCCAGAGGCCCAAGATTTGGATGAAGATCCTAGGGGCTCACAGTGAGCTTGTAACATGAACTATATTAATTGAGCCAAAAGAGCAGGCATTTAAGGAGACACAAATCTGCTCTCAGCCTCTGCTCCCATATATCTCACAGAACATGGAGTCTAACAATGAACTATGGCAACACAGGAGGTAGTGTTAATCCCTAAGCCAAACTGGTTGGGAATATAGACAAATGCTTGTGCGGGCAACAAAGGAAAAAGATCCCTCACCTCAAGTCAAACTGCATGACAGCAGTCCTTATCATTTAATTGTGGAAAATCAACTCACCCAAACTGACGAGATGGAAGCAAATTATTCTGCCATTTTTCTAGATCTTTGAGTTGCACATCAAATCTGGGGCTGATCACTCCACACTGTAAAAGCAAAACAAAAACAGTGTTTACGTGTCACCAAGATAAGAAAATCTGGGGGGAAAAAAAAAAACCTGAAGTCATGTAAACTATGTCATTGGTAACCTATATAATCTTTAACATACACGCCATTTGTATGACCTATGCCTATTTAGGCAGCAAAAGCGCAGCTTTTCAAAGGTCCCTGGAAGACGCAGACACACAGTGTCAGGTCATCAGCGTGCACCCTGCAAGCATGGGCACTGTCCCAGAAAACAGGCCCAGACCTTAAAAAGCTAAGAAACCAAGTATTAGATAAAATTGCATGCTTTTTACATAGCAAACCTAAGAATATGTAGGGTCTCAAATCCTTCACTCATGAACTAAAGACACAAGGTATTAAAGTTAATAAGGAGCAAATTCCACAGGCACAAAACTAAAACCTAAGGACAGACACTCCACACCAATGCCTACACTACCCATTTCTAAGCCTAGCATGCCTGTCAATTTTTCCCATACTAATGTAGCAAAATGGAAAGGCAGAAAAGAGTGGAGTTCTTGTAGTTATCCCACCTCTTTGCTATGGCGACACAGTAACAGCTGTCCTCCAAAGTGAGAGTTCCCCAAGAGGCAAAGCACAATACTTCAATCGCTGGATCACAAGCAAATCACAAATCAATCATTCTTCCAACACCCACTTACAGACTACATGAGCTTACACATGGGTTCTGACTAAAGCAACTAGGATTAGAAAGTGGAAATTGACGGTTCTAAAGCCTCTATAAATAGAGCTTCACTTGCACCCTCTGTCCACTTCACTGCTCTATAAATCATTTGTACACTTAAAAATAGATTGTCACTATTTTCTTTTCTAAGTTAAGAAAAAACCCAAAGCCTCCACTCCACAAGCACCCAGACTTCTTTTTATTCCAGCAGCAACATCCCTCTCCTTCAACTAGAAGAACTAAACCAGCATGAGTCTTAAGATGTGATCAAAGCCGAAATCTTCTCAATCTAGTCTTTAAACACTTACTCCCCAGCCCCCTTACATGTGTACATTACAGGGTACATCCCACAATGGTGTGAAATAAACTAAGGCAACGTGTCTAATGAAAGGAGGGTAACTGAAGTCCAGAAAAACTGAAAATGGAAACGATTCGCCTAATATCACATAAATGACTTGGATTTCAACTACCTCTAGGCAAGAATTTCTCAAACTAGCACACCACTGAACAAAGTTGTCACAAACTTGTTCCATTCAGAAAATTAGAAAATCCTCTACTCCCAACTCATTTCTGCAGCTATAACGCACAGTAAAGAAAAGATGTGAGGAATTTGGCGTGCAGAATTTCTCCAATTTGAAAACTTGGTTTGTGAGTTTCCCCCTAAACACGTCACCAATCTTCCACAGGACAGTTCTTAAAGATCTGCTAGGAACTATATATGGCACCAGCTCTCCCACTGGTTACTGACTAGCTGGAAGACCTCGAGGACAACGCCGATCTCTGATTTCTAACTCCTAGGGGAAAAAAAATCACTGACAGGTTCTCTTCTCTTCAAGAAAAGAGTGAGGATCACTGAGAAAGCGACTCCAAATCCTGCTTTGCAGATGGGGTCTAATGGCTCCAACTACAACAAAACAGACTCTGACCTTTGAAAGGCCTTCAAATCTCTAATAAAGGCTTCATATCTGCAGTTTTTGTCTACCATTAAAAATCTATCCCCACACAAAGCAAGTTCACTACCTAGCAAACTGTTGAGCCAGAAAACAGCCTTACCAATCCGGCCAGTGCCTCCGCCATGACTCACTTTCTGGGCCTGTTCTCTCCTCTGTCTTCAACTATAGCACCTCAGATTCCTTCGTAGTCACAAAATAGAGTAGCGGCTCAAGCAAGCTAACTTATAGACACCTGCCCCCAGAATACACGCAATCAGCTAAATCACAAATTCAAGCAGATCAAACAGACCCACTAGGCTATGTTGACAAGTTCAACTTAAAGGACACACAAACCTCAAAGACACAGACCATGCCAGCAAAACCAGTAGGATTGTTAGTAAAGAGAACACCATTCTGTTTAGAAGCAAATCAAATCAAATCAAAACAATCACCAAAAGCACAAGAGCTATTTACAGTAAGAGGATTAGTGGCCTGAGTTACCCGAGTCCAAGTCAGGGAGGTGGACAGTACCATATAATTTTCAAAGCCCAGTGCCACCAGTTGTTAGTTAAACCCCCAACTCTCCCTTCAAAAAGTTCATAATCCACAAACTCTTCGTCAATTCTAGAGCAAACACAACCCTGGGAGACAAGCCAAGTAAAAGTTGATATAAACTTGATGAGTTGAATTGATTTCTTAAGGAATTTAATCCAACCAAGGAAAGCAACATGGCACCACAATTCATTTTTTACAGGGCAATTAAAACACACACCACCATGCTAGTTAATTCTTAAGCTTCCTAAATCTGGAAAAGAATCAATTCTTACCTTGTTTAACCTGCCTGTGAGGTTCACAACAATTTTCCCAGCTCTGTGATCATCAATGATTTCAAATTCGCCAATGTAACCTACAGAACATAACATTAACAACTGTCAATGTGACAAACCTAATTATTTTTGCTCCTCCATTATTCCTTTTTCCTACTGGATTTCTTCCCATCCTGTCACCTGTGTGATTGTTTCTCTAAGTAGTTTAAGGGAAAGACTCTGGATCAAAACCAACTTCAGACTTCTTAAGATAAAATTTATGGAGGCATCACCCAAAGGAAAATTTACCTGACACTTCTAATTTCTCACAGCTCCCCACTTCCACCATTACCTGATGCCCAAGCCCTGCAACAATTCTCCTTTGTACCCCAAGCAGCTCTTCTTAGAAGAGCTCAAAAGTCTTTTCAATGACATGTCCCAGTTGCACTTACACAAAGGCAGCAGGCAAGTCACAAGCTCCTTCTCCTCAGTAATTCACCTACATCATCTGTTCGAAACCATCCCTGCCCCTATCTCCGTAACTTCTCGGGAATGACTTGACACCTTGCCAATGCCCCAGCCCCACCATTACCACCACCTACAATTTCTTAAATATTTTTACCTGAATACATCAAACATAGCAATGTACTTACCATGCTTCATCATCACAGTTAGAAACCGGACGATAACTTTGGAGCACGGTCTAATAAGAACCTGGCGTTTGCCTCTCTTTTCGGCATTGTTGATGCTCTTGAGGGCATCAGCCAGGACATTCATGCGCACCATTATGGCTGTTGAGGGCAAACAGAAGAGAGGTTTTTACCAGCACTGCCAACCAACATCAACACAAACGAATCTTGCCAAGCGAACACAATCTTTCTCTTCTGACTCCATCATGAGAAAGTTGCCCTACCTCCAAGCAGCCCGTTTCCCCTGGGGGAGCAATGTCAGCTGCCAAAACTGAAGTATGAGGTGCTGTAGGTCGAGGATTCAGAATGCAGGTGAGAATCAACGGTAACGATTCCCAAATTCTGAAATCCAGCGGTATCTGTACTATTAACTTTCCCTTGGACGTTCGTTCAGCTTTGAACAGATACCCAAAAGCTATCACCGACCTCTCACCTAAAGCCTCTATTTAACCAAAACGTCTGCGCGCCCCCAGAAGCCGTGTCCAAGGGCACAGGCTACCGGCCTAGACGCCTCGCCACGGGGCCACGAGGTGCATGACACCCTGATGAAGTTTTGGAAGCTGAGTGTGGAGGCCCAGGCACCCTTCAAGCGCCAACGGGGATCTGACCTTCTTCCTCAAACTCAGCCCAGTCTGACGGGAAACCCGGGAACCCAAGCGCTACCGACCAGCCAGCGGCCTCCCCGGGCTGGCCGCGGCGTCCCCTACTCAGTGGCTCTGGCCTCCCTGGCTCCCAGCGCGGTCGCGGCAGAGGCTCCCCTGCCCTCCACGGCCACCGCTCCCCACGCTTCCCGCCGCCCGGGGCCAACGCGCTGCCGCAGCCGCTACCGGGAGGTCCTGGCGCCGAGGCCCGGGTGGTCGAAAGCTCTGGCTCCGGCCCGCACCGAGGCCTGTGCACCATGGGCGGGCTTCCCAGAGTGCAGAGCGTGGAGGCCAGGAAGACTCTCCCCTATGGCAGCCCAGTCCCCCAAAAGGCCAGGACCCCCGGCCGAGGCAGGCTCCGACATCCTCGAAGAGCAACGAAGTCGAGCCTCAGAGTGCAGGATGGCCTCGATAGCCGACGGATGCTGTTGGAGCGCCACACAGAGATACTCACCGGCACGGAAAAATGGCGGAAAGAGGACGGGAGGGGCGAGCGCACGGAGTTATGGGAGGAGGACGGGCTATCGCGAGACTTTTAAAGGACCGCCAAAAAAAAAAAAAAAAAGCCTAAAGGAAAAAGGAAGAGGAAGTTGCGGGGCCTTTTCAGGGGTGAGCAGTAGAGTGTCGATGGACTCGATCTCCCCATTTGAGGCCCGGGAGGGAATACTGGGTAAGGTTTTGTTTAGTTTGAGGTTCCACTCTCTCCTAACACTAATCTGTAAAATTTAAAAAACTAACAAGGGCCTAGCTATTTGCTAAATTTTATTGCAATAACTAGTCACCATTCAGAATATTGATACTTGCGTATAGTATCTCTGGAAGGACCCAGAGCAATTAATAATTGCCTCTGGGGACGGCACTGGGAACTAGGATGAAAGACTGACCTTTCTCCTATAAATTTTGTTTTGTTTGAAATGGTGTATGTATTACATTTTCAAAGCAATCAAAAATACTTATTAGTCAGTGGTTGATTCCTTTTTGACGCTCCCTAAATCTTGAAAATTAATTTACTGAGACTGCAGACCTTTCTTTAGAGTTGTGGGATAGTTTGGAAGAAAGCCACAAATGTTTCAAAATAAACACCGAGGATTCTGAGCTGGTGCTTTTATCTGCTCTTCTGCACCTGGACAAGAACCAGTTTGGATAAGTTTTATCCTCTCTGAAAGTTAGTAGATTCTCAATGTATTTTGCCACTGGAAAAACCAAGTAGCTGAAGCTTGAACCCTGGGACCTTATCACCTTGTAGGGCAGGAATTACGGCTCTGCCCTCTCTGGAACTGAGTTATCTGGGTAAGTTTTCACCCTTCTCCCCACTACCCTGCTCCCACTTGGCGGCCAGAACAGACCTCTTCCCAACTTAAGTCAGAGCATGCACTCTCCAAGGGCTCCCAAGGCACTCAATAAAATCCAAATTCCTTTTTTTTTTTTAGATGTATTTATTTATGCACACAAGAGCTGGGGTACAGGCCAGCAAACAGGGATTTGGTATTTTTCACTGCCATAATTTTCTACAGCTTCTAGAGAAGTTATGTGGCATATCCTAGGTCCTTGATACATATTTAATAAATGAATGAGGAAATCAATTTTCCCATCTGTAAAATGGGAGTGATAATACCAACCACTTGATGTTGCTATAAGGGTAAATAGAATAATCCATATAAAGGAGAGGAACACAAACCTGGCCTGGTGAGTGCTCCATCAACATTAGTTACTAATACAGTCTCAGCCCACTGCACCCATCCCTCCACTTCTCAAATCCTAAGTGGTCAAGAAAGCAAAGATCCAATTTGAACTTCTCAGGGATATGGAATTCTCTGGTTACAACTTTATTACCCAAGAATCATCTGCGTTTTAAATGAAAATTCTCTTGAAACTGGTTTCCTGTACACTTACCTGTTCTATTTATTAAAATATGGAGTTCACCTTAAGGACCTTAGCAAGAGTAGGGAGTTATGTGAATAAACCCACTTGCCTTCAAGAGCTTTGATGTCATTATAAAAATCTCTTCACACACTTTATTCACTCATTCATCCATCCATCCATCCATCCATGAGTGCCTACCATGTGCCAGATGGCGGGTACAAAAATAACTTTCCTGTATTTATGAAAGATTCAGACCCCAATGGGGGTGGGAGTACATACCTCTAAATACCACCAATACCCAGCAATATGCCACCTGAAGTGGGATGCAGAGATGGCCGGGGATGTTTATGCAGCTTTCAGAGCAAATGCCATTTGATCTGTCAATTACCAATTCATGACTGTCACTAAGATTAACTGGCTATAGATTAACTCAGTGCCTCCTCAAAATAAATGTGATTATACAATGCTGATAGCTAGAGCTCTGTTATCCCCATTTCACAAATGAGAAAACTAAATTCAATCTTCAACGGACTTAAAACTCTTGTTTTAAGAAGATAAAGCAAAGTGGTTACTAGTCTAAGCTAATAGACTGCTGGATGGGGTTTGGATCTAGGTCTGTACCTGATCCCAAAATGTTAGGAAAAGTGAGTGGGGAGAGGCTGATGACAGCTCCTGGAGACAAGGGGATGTGAATCTACCAAGAAGCTAACTGGAACCTAGAAGTGGGCTAAGATAAACAGCAACCTGTGGAAGATGACCTGGTGGCATTAAATCACCACTCCTAAAAGCTCCCAAATTCTTTCACTCTTCTTGGCACAACAAACTCACCCTGTACACTCTGAAATGACAGGACGGCTACAAATTGGTGCCAGATCAAGGCCCAAAAGGCAGTATCGCTGTGACTAGAGCAGCTGGCATAGGGGTAGCTGAGCTGCACTGGGAAGTCAGCCCAGAGAGACTGAACTGAGAAGTAACCTCTGATACTTGGTAGAAAACCAGCATTTCACAGCCTCAAGCAGCCAGAAACCAATGGTGACTGAGTCACTTCTCTTTTCTAGACATCACCAAAGCCACAGGAGGCTCTAAAGGATCCACATGCTTTAGGGGTGGCTCAGGATTTGATATTAAATCCATTCCCAGGGCCACAAAGTATAGACAGTGAAGCCCAATAAAAAATAAATAAAACATCCAATTTGAGCTTTAATTTAAAAAAAAATCAAGTGCAGATAAAAATTATCCACCAATTACTTACCAAGAACCTTGTATACCAAACCCAGAGGCAGGCCCTGGGGTACAGAGCAGCCCACATCCAGCTTCTCTCCTCAGCCTGCCTTGTTCCCTATTCTTCCAGCACAGCCATCACTAACTCATTCACTCTATTTCCTTTTTCATCTAGCACGGTGCCAGGGTGTTCGCTGAGTAAATTTAAACCTTTATTTCATTTTGTTCTTAAAAGAGTACAGGCATGTAGTGATCAACAGGGTGGTTCATTAATGAGATTTATAAATCCAATCATGTAAACATTGTATTGGCTATTAAGAAAGTAAGACACAAAGAGGGATTCCAAGCTTTTTATAATTTTCCCCTTTTCCACAAAACAAAGTGAAAGAAATAATACAGGATTAAAACTGCAAAAGTAGTTAATTGGTAGAACAAGTACACACACAAAAATCCAGGTAGGAAGACAGGTTATTTACAAGGGAAAAACACACGTAAATTAAGGTAGTTTGTAGTTTTCATACGAAACATAAGGGAAAAACTCAAACATATGCTACATGGATGCCACTGTTTACAGCAATATTGAAGGGGAGAAAACAGTACTTATTTAGGGACAGAAAAACCACAAGGTCCAGGTCTTACAACATCAGTGCAGTAAATTCACAAAACTATATTACAGCAAATCAGTTTAAGAATGTTCAAAAAAATTCACATTTTCAGCCCTCAGAGGTTCATTCCTACAAATTTCAGCTACTCTAAATTTCTAGCTGCTGAGAGGGAGACTGTCGCTAAGCAGCTTGTCAAGGAGTTAGAATCGCTGTAGAGCAAAGCCAACTCTCATCACCCAGAATCTGTTCTCACCACCAGTCCTTATATTCTTCAGAGCATAAACTACATGGACACCTTCCTAGTAACTACTTCTATGCCCAATCTGTAGGGACCAAAGCAGCCAGAATTACCATTAAATGAGAATCCTGAGGCTTACCTTTAAAGGCTTATTTGGGTCTTGACAAATTAGTTAAGATTATTGTCTACTGAAGTGAATCTTGACTGAACACAGGAAGACTTTTGTTCTTTACTGGTTGGTCTTGGAGTAAAGATCAAAGACAATGAGTCTTAACCTATTAAGGTTCAGCTTCAGTCAGCTGAAAATCAGAAATTAAAAGTAGGCTAAAAATCATAAATATGATCTTTTGGAAGTCTGTTATTGAAAAGCTTTTAAGGATTTACTAACTTGAAGTTTAAGTGCAAGAGGACAAAAGCTCTAAGCCTGTCATAGTCCCATTTGGGAGAAAACATCACTGTTTCTTACAGCTTGCTACGTTTTGCACAGGGAGAAACCAATACATTCTGGCGCATGGAATTTCATTCACTTTATTCCATGAGGAGTCTTCACCCATGATAGAGAAACAAAATGAGGAATGACTCTTAATTGGTCTCTTATGTGGTTTCTATATTCATGAAAAGCCAGACAGTTTTTTAAGTAGACTGTGGAAGCAGACAGTAGAACCAGCTTCCTGTAGCCACAGACCACTACCTTCTATCTAGCTAAAACACAGATCAGTTGGACAATTACCCAAAGTCACTGTTAACTGTACTAAGGGGTGAAAGACACCACTAGGTTATTTTACAGGAAGTTGCCTAAATGTAAGAATTCAATGAATCCTGGATGAGAAAAATCAAAATAAGTCATACAAATGAGTTGTCCATATAAGGCCAACTGAGAGAATACACCCAGCAACACTTGACACGAAGACACTATGAATGAAGCTGAGTTGGCAAATCTGAATTTCTGTTAACTAAGGGCAAAATGAGGGCGCAAAGAGCTGCTTCTGTAACATTTAGTATCCAGACAGCATAACAGAAACTGGTTCCATGGACAATGTATATGCGATTAGTCACACTGAATGAAGCAGATTCACTATTCATTTTTCTTTTCTTTTTGTTTGAGAAGCTTGTTTATCTCCCTTTTGGCCATTCCAATGTACTTCGAAATGATTCCATGTTGGTTCAGTCCAGGAAGCAACAGTAAGAAAGTCACTTAAAAAGAAAGAAAATTAAATAAGCAGCAATTAATTTTCTAAAGGTTATTACATTTTAGAGAATGTAGTTTCCCAGACTATTAGACATTCTGATGGGAGGAAGCAATATGAAATCTAGTACTTCCAGTGGTATTTAGCCCCAGAAACTTCTGCCTTTACACCTCAGATAACTTACTACTTATTTTCACATCTAACATTTTGCTTCCCATCTTGGTTATGTTCTCTGACTTAGCGTCCTATAACACAAGCTCCCTGTAAACAAGGAACTTTCTCAGCTAAATTTCTATACTCCTATAGTTCTTTAAGTAGTGCCCAAACTGAACAAGCAAACACACACACTTGTTTACTAAGTTCTGATGAAAAACACCTCGGGCCAGGCCGTGCCTGCAGTACCTCACAGACTTACCTATCAGGTAGGTGAGAAGAAGGTTGTGGACTTGCTGTCCTACCCAAGCAACCGCAGCAAGAGAAACGATCATGGTCATGAAGTACTAATAATGAAAAGAACAAGAATTGTCAATTCCTAGAACAAACTAAAAAGCATAGATTTCAGAGGTCATTTCAAAAGATAGAATAATTCAGTCTTTATTACCACTTTTCTTTAAAAATATTAACTATGTATAAAAATCCATAGAATTTAGATACATTTCTTCCTAGTATTAACTTATATATTAATTAGCTTAAAAGAGAAATCATTACTTATACAGTTGATAATTGCAACCTCATGTGAACCTGAAAAAGAGCAAATGCTATGCATGTTTTTTATTTCAGTAAGTAAAAAAGTGAAATAAAATTTTTGTCATACTAGAATGAAAAACTAAATGCAAACTCTAACTTTAATTTCAAATGATTCAATTTAACTAGTAAGATAAACATTTATGAATGTATTCAAAAAAGTTAAACCAATGGATAATGGAAGATATCAAACTAACTATTAAAAAAAAGGCTATCAAACACTATAATGAAAGCAAAAACTGACTCAACCAGAAATTTTTGCTTTACTTAAATAACTCAAAAAAATAAAGTACCATTTTAGGCTTTTCTTCCTTTAGAGTGAAGAGGCGTTTCCACCAACCCACAGTTCTGCGGCGAGATTTTATTACATTGCTGCAGATTTCATGGAATCTTTGCTGTTGCTCAGTGGTCCTAGAAAAAAAATTTTTCCTTTTGCTATAAGCAACTCTCTACAGTAAACAGAAATAAGACTATTCTCCTAAATTTAAAACAACTATGTTCAAAAAAAAAAAGGTTAACAATGATCCATTATTATAAAGGGTGAAAAAGTCCTTATACCACTAAGACATCTTTTATAGCACAAGAATAAGTTTATACAAAAAGACATGGTAGGGCAGGCATGTGTGCGTGTGTGCCTATGCATTAACAACACATGTTGTTAATACACTAAAGCAATGGTAAACATGATTGTAAAGCTGTGTTTGCTTTATGACAGTAACAAGAGCATCACAGCCACTATGGGCCATGTAGAAATTAGTACACTTTCTCTATTCCTATATTATTTTTCAGATCCTAAAGAATCCTGGATTGTAGCCCATCAGAGTCCCACTGTTTTGAGAAAAATGTTAACAGTAACATTTGAGCATTCATGTTAAAAAAATAGCTACTAGCATTCAAAGCTTAATACCCTCAAACTGGGCTTCCTACATTTCACCTAAGGCAGAAACAAAAACTCATATCCAAATTCTTTATAAATTTAATGCCAGTGAGGGAAAACAATCATAAATAAAAATAGTAGTAATAATACAAAAAGTTTTTTGGGGGTAGGGCAGGGGGAGAGGGGCTGATAAAACTCAAGTGATAGAAACAGCAGAAGGGTTTCTGCTGAGCCTTGGAACTTCTTGTAAACAATCAGACCTTATATGCTGCCCTTGGTCAAGGCTAGACTGTGGCAGTGCAACAGTGTCCTTCCCCTTAAGATCAAAAACTAAAATGGCTTTGTCGACAAGACTGAGTCACATACTGATAACTAGAAGAAACTATCAGCATTTATTTCTAAAAACTTTCCTCCAGGAGTTATGAATTAGCAGCTTAAAATGTCATCTAATAAAATCAAGGTCAGAGGTTGATTTCTTTTGTTGAACTGTTACACTGCATGGTTACAAACTTGCCCAATAAACAGCAACGTAATTCATAACTGTAAAACAACTCAAAGTACATTTCCTAACACTATTCTGCTATGGGGAAGCCTTTAAATAAACATGACTAAGTGTCCATTTGTCCTCAAAGATCCAGAAGGTACACATGTAAAATTCTTATTTTTATAGAATTATAAATTGCTATTATCAGAACAATAACAAAAAGTAAAGGCATAAACAGACTATCAAATTAGAATAAACAACCAAGGAGAAGAGCAACTAGGAGAAAAAAAATCTATTCCAACATCTAGCTTTAGTCATTTATTTAGATTTAAAGTGAGAAATCCAACATTATGGAGGGAAGTTAAAATACTTTAATGTAACCTGGGGCCTCCCTGGTGGCCTAGGGGTTAAGTCAGCGCTATCACCACTACTTCCCCAACCAGGGACACTAACCCACATGGCACAGCAGACCTATCCTGTTCTGCTCCCCACTCTGCCTCTGGTGAACCATCTCATCCCTCCATCCCCCAGCACATAGGCAAAAAAAAAAAAAAAGAAAGAAAGAAAGAAACACTTTAATGTGACCTATAGCCACTTAACTCAATCTTAGGTGCTCATAAGTAACAAATCAAAGACTGGTAAAATTGTTATCAACAATCCAGTTGTATACAGTGCTTGAATCTACTCTGAAGCACTTGCTATGCTGATAGCCATCCCTGCATGGCCTTGGCTCAACCTTAAATGCAAATTTTAAAGGTCAAATTATTTCACAGTACCTAGAACAGTACCTATCAGTAGACATTGAATAAATAGCTGCTGACTGGACAAAAATCTACCAGTTACTGTTTTTGTATTCATTTAAAAGTAACTTATGAAACTAATGTTATACATTTTAAGTATCAGTGGAAATATAAAATATAAACATACTACTTTTACAGAAAACTCACTATGAGCTCTGCCATCCTTGATAAAATGTTACTTTTAAAAACTTACTTCCATTGAAAGGCCTAAAAAGAAAAACAATTTCAAAATAAAAGCTTGACCTTGAAAGAACTATGGTGATGAAAGTACTGCAAATTCATGATTTACTCTGATTTAACAGAGTCTTCACATAAAAGCAATAAATCCAACCCCGTAGTGTCTACTAATTACAGACACAGATCATCCAGTAACTTTTCAGAAGCTAGGCTGCCAAATGATTATGCCACCTACCATTTATTGGAGCCAAAAATTCTAGGTGCAAGAATGGGAACAAGGTAGTCAGCCAAGCACAAAAACATAACAAAACAGGAAACACCGGATAGAACAGATGGATCTAGATAGTAGATAGTCCTGTTTAAAAAAAAAAAAAAAAATTAGAGAAAGTCATTAGTATTCATAGTTGTGAAGGTAAGTTTGACTATTTACCACTTAGTCCACTAGTTAGTTCCCAAAAAAAGTCACTTGCCCTTTTCATTCTAATTTTCTCAGAGTGGTTTTCCAAAGCCTTCATGACACGGTGACAAGCTGTAATGGTTAATGTAAATATCAAGAGATAAAATAAAAGCTCTTTGGGGTCCTCAGTATTTGTTAGAAGTATAAAGTATCTTAAGGCCAAAAAGTTTGAGTCAGTTCTTAATTCAACTGCATTAGATTACAAGTTTATGTAAGTGCTACAAATTCTGAAAACTGAGAAAACTGCTCTAAGAAAAGGCATTCTTTCCAGATTACACATTACAAAAGACTTCAGGCACTTTCATAAATGGAGGCAGTGTTTTACCTGAGCCCTTATAACTAATAAGCACAATCCATAGAAATTTAATAGCTCACTTACAGAAACACCAAAGAAACCACACCCATGATGGCAGGTGGAAACCAGGCTCTTTCCCATCGGAGGACTTTATCAGCCATCAGCATCACTTCTCCCCATCCTTGCAGCTGCTCTTCCAGACTTGCAGTCTCTGCAGCCTGGATATGATCAACATTTAAAGTGACCGTTTAACTACTCTCAAAATTTCTGTCGTTCCTAGAGAGTTAAAATTCTTCTAAGGCACCAAGTATGCAAAATAGCTCTTAACCAAATCATTATCTTACTAAACAGGTTAATTTCTGAAAAACCCTGCAAGGTTGCTACCAGAGACAGAAATTAATGGGGGCACTATCTACTCTTTTACATGCCTGATATAACATAATCCTTAGAGAGGCCCGGGAGGAAAGGATAAGAAGACCCATTTTACAATTACAGAAAGTGAACTCAGAATGCTTAATTAACTACCTTTCCCACAATTACACACCACTAAGTGGCAGTGCCCAGTCTACAAAATTACATCACTTGAAGTTCATTTCAGGTGGTTAGAATTGATCTGTTGTTTTGTCATTTCATTGATTTGAACCCCTATTCTAAATCCATTAGGAAAGCCTCTCTCTGAATAGCAATTTCTAAAATAGCTCTTTGTGTAATGGAATCATTTAGACCTTTCCCTCATTTGCAAATTAAGGAAAACTACTTTCACCAAATTACTTGATGCTTTAAAGTAAACATATCTCCAAACTGCTGCTTACACTTAAATTTTGGTCAGACTAAGTTTTTCTCAAATCAGACAATCAGTTGAAAGTGGACTTCCGGGATGAGCTAATGCTGGCAAAAAAGCCCTTCAGACAATTTTGGTAGAGGGAAAAAAAACAACTGGAACAAGAAGAAACCAAGTGTCCCCAGAAATGTCAGCACAGGGGTCAGTGCCACCTTATCTGAGTAAAGATTTAGGGTTATACTGAGCAGTGAGGTGATTTCAGTATTCCTGCCTGTATCTACCATGCTTACCATACAGTTGAGTTCACTTTGTGCTAGAAACTCTGCCAAGTATTCAATACATTTAATCAGTCTTCCCACATGCGGCAAGATGTTGTTATCCTCATTTTACAGGTGAAGATACTGAGATACACATAGATTAACAGTTTTGAATCCAGGAAGTCCAAGACCAAAGGCCTTGCTCTCCTGACGTTTTATTGTTCTGCTGGAAAGAGTAGCTGAACTCTAGGCCAGAACCTGTCATTTCAATAGATGTGTCAACTCCAATTTCTTGATGCCTCAGTCAATCTTCTTAAAAGGAACCTGGCTAGGGCTAGTTCTGCTCACTAAACAGTCAGACAGTTCTAAAAACCAATGCAAAGTGAAAACCCCGGGGCCTCCCTGGTGGCACAAGGGGTTAAGCCGCTACCTATGAATCTGTCCTCAGCCTCTGCAGCTCGAGTTCGATCTCCAGCCAGGGAGCTACCCTCATGGCACGGCAGACCTCTCCTGTCTCCCCGCTGCTCCCCTCAGCAGTGCATTTCATTAGATCTGCCTGTTCTGTTCCCCACTCTGTCTGGGGAATCCTCTCGCCCCCTCCCCCGCACCTCTGGCCTGCACCCCAGCTCTTGTTTGCATAAATAAATCTTAAAAAAAAAAAAAAGTGAAAACCCCGCACAATCAACACTGCCCAGCAACGTCCCTTCACCCGTTACCACCTGTACTCTTGGAAAACCAAGTCAAAAATCAAATTCTTCGGTTGTGGCTGCGGTGCGAGGCCTGACTTTCCGGGGGAAGGGCAACGGCGGCGAAAACACCGCTTTCGCTCTCATTTCAGCCCAGACTGTGCCTTCCAGCTCGTCAGCTGTGCCCGCCTGTGGGTCTCGGCTTCACCACACCCCGCCCTGCGGTCGTCCTTCAACCCCCGGATCCCGGGCGCACGCCAGGCCCCGGCCGACCCCATTGTCTTTCCACCTGAACCCCACTCCCGGCTCCCCGCGGAGCGCCGCCGCCTCCTGCCATTTTAAGCCGTGACAACTGTCCACAGGCATTCCCCTGCCCGCGCACTGGGGACAGACGACGGGGCCCCCGGGTTAGGCTCACGGACGGGCGACCCTGGACAGGGCTGGGCCTGCCCCGGCCCCCAAGGCGCTGGGCAGCCCCGCCCGCCCGGCCGGCCCGGGCTTCCGCCACCGACCCCTTCTCCCACTTCCTCCTCAAGCCCGTCGCCGCGACTAATCTCGCGCCCTCCTCGGCCCGCGCCGGGCCTTCCTCAGGGGGTGTCGGGGGTGGCCGCGGGGCGCGCGTCGCCGCCCGGGCGCCCGCGGAGGAGGGCCGGGCCGCGGCGAGTGACAGGAACGCGCCCACCCAGGTCCGCGGCCCCGCTCGGGTCTCTCTCTCGGGGAGAGGGCGCTCACCAGCAGGTTAGCGCTGCGGTTATCTCCCTCCGCCATCGTCCCAGAGGTGCCGCCTCCGCGAGCGAACGTCGCCCTTCAGGAGAACACAGCCCGGAACGCCCGCACCGAGCCCCCAGCACCAGGATACGCCCCGCAGGCGTCTTATATAGCCCGGTCGCCTTTCCCGACAGGCAGCGCGAAGCGCGCTCCTCATTGGACAGATCAAATCCAGCTCGAGGAGAGCGGACCAACTGCTGCCCAGCGCATGGCTTGAAATCGAGGCCAAAGGAGAGCAAGGCCGCACCGGCCGAAGGGCGGGGTCAGGGAATGGCCAATCAACGCCCAGGACTTGTGCGACGCCCCGCCCAGGCCTTTCGGAAGCGGCTCAACTGCCGCCTCGCGGGCCGTTGGGCTGGCTCGGCCTCCCGGCGTGGATACCCCGGTGTCTTCGCGCTGGGCCTCAGAGCCGCCCCGGAGCCGCTGAGGAGAACTTAGTCGTAGAAGAAATACGCCACGCAGAGTCAGGCGGAGAGCGGAAGCGCGCCCGTGATGTAAACTCCTGGCGGCCGGGGGGCGCTGGCGGACCCCCGAGCCGGCCTGGCCGGGCCCCTGGACGACCCGCGCTGTTCAGATCCCCGCCCCCGCCCGGCCCCTGCGCAGCTTTGCCTGGGTTTGTGGCTCCGAGCCTCACGCCCACCTCAGGAGGCTGCGTGAAAGGAGCTATTGGTGTAGGTTTTCGGGGTGTTTTTCATGCCTCCCGGTTTACGACTAAAGGCCTCGCTGGAAGGTGGGGCGGGCCGGTGTGAGAACAGGAGCGGACGCCGATTGGGAACGTGGGCCTTTCCTGGGGGGTCTTTAGGAGAAAGTGCCCTCTGCGGGGCCCCCAGGCTACTGACGAAGCCGAACTTCACCCCCAGAGGAGCTAGTTTTGACAAGACCTTGCTGACATTTGAGGTCACGCTCTGAGGTAAACCTCCTGACCTGTGGCGTTTTTAGCCCTTCAGGAACCCGGGGATGGACTGACTGTTGCATCTTTCCCTCAGGACTTCAAAAGGCACCCAGTGCTGCTTCGCGACTCAGTGTAAAGGCAGTAGTGTCAAATGCTGGCCTTGGATGCTGCGTACAGTGAAGCTCGCCAGTTTTTAACTTGCAGCCTTTTAGCCTTTGATAATTATTGATGTCATGGAACTTAAATTGACTTTTGCAAAGCACCCCTTAAAGAACTACCAGGTTCCAAAGAATTTAGAGAAGGCATCAAGAAATGTGGGAGCACGACTGTAGGCCAGACTGCTGGAAGCCAGCCAGGGGCACAGCATTGTGCATTTCAGGAACGGGGGAAATGTGGCATGCATACTTGAAAAAACAGGAAAGCACCTGGGATCAGGTAGAAATACTTGATGGGGGGAGCCTTTATAGGGAAGGAGACTTCAGTGCCACTCTGGGATTTGGAGGTGATGAGGGCTGGTAGCTAACATGCAGCCAGCTGATGAACAAAGACTCCACTTGGGAGATTTTAAAGCTGTCAAGTTGGAGATGCAGACCCTCTCCTACCTCTTACAAAAAAGGTCCCAATCAGCAGTCAGAGTATATCTAGTAAAGTGCCAGTTAGCTGTTTAATAACTGACTTTACTACTGTAGCTTTTTTTGCTACAGAATACTTCTGGATTACACAAGCCCCCTACAATTAAAGGAAGATTTTTCAGCACCAGCATATAAAACTGATGAAGGTGGAAAAAACACAAGCGACTGTTAACACGGGTTCTCCAAGGAATCCTTTTGTTACTCAATGTGTTCCCAAATCTCCAGGCCTTTTTAGGACTTCATAGCCTAGGAGCACCGCTGTAAGGTCTTTTCACTTTGGCCTAATTATTAAAATACACCTGTAGTGAACTTTTCTTGAGCTTTCTGTGCTACAAATACAGGATATGATCTTTTAAATTGTGCCAGATGACTAACGGCAAACTCAAATCCTAACAATCCAGCAGCAACAAATGCAAATTTACAGCTATTAAAACAAGCTGGACGTTTTAATTCTTCCTTTAGTGCTTTCATTCCCCAGGGAATATAGATGTCAATAATAATGTACAGGAAGTTTTTGGGGTTTATTTTGCGTGGAACTGAGGTGTAGGCCAGAGGTGTGGGGGCTGAAAGGATTCACCAGAGCAGGGCACAGAATGGGCAGAGCTGCAGAAAGATACTACTGAGGGGAGCAGGGGGCGAGACAGGCGAGTCTGCTGTGCCATGTGGGTTAGCTCCAGGGACGAAACTCAGGCCTCAGCAGTGATAGCGCTGAGATTTGACTCCAGGGAGGCCCAAGGAGTTGTTGTTTTTTTAAGTATTATCTAAATTAAGCTACATAAATTGGGTCTTAATACTAAGAAGTTTCCCAGCTTAGTAAAATTTCCACTGCTGTTCAAAGACACAATGGAACTCTGGGGACAAAACACTAATTTTTTTTAAATTTTGTTATTAGTGCTTAAAAAAAAAAGGTACCCATATTCCAAAATAAAGTTTTCTGGAACCTACTTTGACCAAATAAATTCAAAGCTTACATGCCATTTTGAAACGTTTATTTTTTGAAAAACAGGTATTTCATACAATCTTTGCCACATTAATGCAAATATGCACAAAGTAGGCATATATTTTTGTTTTCCAAAAGATGCATCAAGAATGTTTTCAGGAAGCTGGTGTGATTTATTCATCTTTTAATCTTAAATACAATCACAAAATTATATCCATCAGGAGGCATTGCAACCTTTTGTACAGAGAAGTCACTTTATTTATACAATGTTACTAAGACAAGGAAGATTTAGTTTCAACTTAATTTGCTCTTATAATAAAAAAGTAAATCAACAGGTAAGTGAACTATGATGTCATCGCCATGGACATTACAGGTGGAAAATGCAAGGGAAGTTTAAACCAGAAAAATAACTGACACAAGAACTTAAAACAGGAGCTGAAACTTAAGACTACCAGGAAAAGAAAAAAAAAAAAAAATCAGCTTGTTTTGAAAGAAAAACAAGTCTGCATTTCAGAACGACATGCATTTCCTTAAGCTTACCATCTTCAAAAGTCAAGCTAATTGTATGACATTTTCACATTAGCACAACAGCTTTTTCCCTAGGTAAGTCCAGCCCAATACCCACTGAAAGCAAGAGACCACCTTGAACCTCTTTGCCTTTGTAGATAAGGGATGGTGAGACTATTACCCAGGCCTACAAAGCAGGAAAAGTGCAACAAACCCATAGGGGTTCATAATACAGTGAATTTAATTTTCCCTCCCCCAATGTTTGTAAAATTTTGTAATGCTAGTTTTTTCCCCATTAATGGAATCTTTTAGTACAACCCAAATATTGAAAACAAAAGGCCTTCTCTTTTAGTGAAACCTGCATCAATGTATCCTATTTACCCTTTGATTTAAGGAAGGGGATGTCTTTGCTCTAAAATACTGGAATTTCACAAGCTCCACAAGTTACAGAATAGAAGGCCATCGGTTTTCATAACTAATTTTGTGTAAAACAAGGATACTTAAATATGCTAACACAGCATTCACTGATTTTTGATGTATATGAATCAGACTAACAGGCTAATTGTAGGTGCTTTCTTTACTATGAAAAGAATTGGGAGAAAAGAAGAACCAGCTCCCTTGATTTTAGTACTGCCAAAAAAGTAAGCCCCCAGCGTAATTACAAACATGTGGAGGAAAATAGGCCAGGAAGACTTTTTGTTTCAAAGTACTGCCTATAATACCCCAGGTTTAAAAGGACCTAAGATTGCACATCAACTCTAATATTTGGCTGTACTTGCATTGCCCTGCTTGGCATTTTAAAATGGCTCTTTCCTTAAATTTCACACATCAGATAAACCACAATTAAAAAAAAAAATGCCAGTAACACCAAACACTGGACAATATTAAGAAAACTACATACTAAGCTTAGGTAATAGAGGCAAGAGTTAAGGGCAGAGTGATGGAAGTTTTTCTTTGTATTACAAACCCTCACCCTAAACCTGGGGTTTGGGCACTAAAAAAGCAATTCAGAAAAACAGATCAAGAGCTTGATTCTCAATTCTCACATAGAAATCTCACATATGTGAAAAACAACTACATGTCAGACACGAAAGAACCTAGTAATTAGCAAATTCTATAAAGAACTCATGACCAGAAATAGATACTATAAGACACACCAAAGAAACAGGAATAGACAGCTTCATGAACTACTAAAACTCCACAGCTTAATAGAGATAGCAACTAAAAGTCAGGCAATTCTAGCAAATGAAAGACAGGAACACTTAAAAGAAACCTCAGTTTCCAGGGGTACAATGAAGAAGAGGTGGTTTGTAGGTTATCCTATACCCCCTGAATCTGAGAGAAGAGCAGATTCCCTGGTTTTCCACAGGTACTTTGTATCATCATAAATGTATGACTTTCTAACTACAGCACTCTTAAGCTTTACATTATTTTACAGGATGATCCCCAAAATACAGCGCCGTCTTCAATCTGCTCTACCGCTAGGGCCTTTTACCTGCTGATAAAACTTCTGTTGAGGTCTTTTACAAAAGTTCAAAATGACAAGGCGCCTTTTAGAATGACTTCCCAGAGAAAGCCAAGCCCTACGATGAGGGTCTCATTGTCCAGAGTGCAGCAAAGATTAAGCTTTGAAGTCATCAGTAATTCATATCTGCCCCGGACCAAACATGTATATGCCACACTATTCTCTGAGGGACCATTGTAAAATTAAAGTGGCAGATAATTTACCAGAGGCATATATTTTTGCAGGTACCTCTGAAGCCTAAAATTCACAGGCAATAAAATCCATGTATTTATCTTTTTTAACAAAGAGGAACTAATTTTTGAATACCACCTAGAGAAGACAAACTAGTGTGAACTGGTTTTATTATTGTGACAAAAGTTTTTCCTGTGACAATAAAGAATGTTGCTGAAAAACCTGTTTCATCTTAAGAGAGCAGAGGTAATCAAGTGATGAATGCAATGGCTCCCACAGTCTTTAGGAAATAAAGCAGAGTGCAAAATACAATATGGCATCATTATTCCAGCTAAGTTGTTTTGATTGTGAAAATGAGGCAAGATGAAGAAAATAAAATTTGATGCATGGGTTTCCTTAACTTGTTATTAGACACATGGGTATTTAAA